GGGGGGGGGGGGGGGGCCCCCCGGCCCCCCCCCCAGCCGATACTCACAGGTGAGACGTTGTCATGGTCTTGGCGTTCCTGGACTGGGTGACGTGGCAGGCTGTCTTCAGTAAGGACTCCAGGAACAGCTCCAACGCTCGCGCTGTGGCCCAGAGTTAAGGGGGGGAGCAAAGCCGACCCCATTCCCCCCCGCCTCGAGGCACGGGACGGTAATCACACGAGCCGCTGCTTTCAATGCAATCACATCCTCCAATGCTGGCCGCTCAGGCCGGCAGCATCTGCCGCCGAGAAGATCCTTTCCCATCTCCTTGATCTGTCCAAACCAGAGAGGATGGGAGCACCTGCCTGCAAAGCCGGGCCTCTAACCCCTGAGCTACACAGCCTCCCTTGCAGCAGCCTCCCAGCCTTCGATGCCAGTGAATCCCAAGGGCTGTATTTACCTTGCCTCGAGGCAAATGCCAGGCACAGGCTGCGTTGCCCTCCCCATTCAGTCCCCGCGTGATTTTAGTCTGGCTCTGCTGGGCCTTGGGGTGGGGTGGCGCGCGATCAAAGAAGCAAAATTCACCCTCTGCCTTTAATGAGTGTTAATGCCAAGAAGGAAGGGTCCTCGTCCAGAATCTTGAGACCCGGGACAGAAAACCCCCTTGCAAAGTTCCTTGCAAACGGGGTTTCTACAAAGCGTTTTAAATTCCTTCCCCAGAATGCTTGCATGATGGGCTATGAATCCGTTCCTTCCAGAAGCCAGTAAAAATCCTTTCTCTCTGCTGACTGCTGGCCTCCAGCAATACGCCTACTTCTCTCTCAGCCTTGGCACAATCTTCCACCTGCAGCTTATGGGATTTGTGGTCTATGGGAATCCCGCTGTTTATAGTGTAGGCTGCAAATCACGGCTAAACCAAACCACTTAGTGCAATCTGGGAACCAGCTATTTTAAAATATTGCTTTCTTTTTTAGATTGATCTCTTGCTTTTCATTCAGGAGATCAAGGTGGCTTCCTCTGTTCTGGTCACAACCACCCTGTGAGGTTGGGTACATTGAGAAAAGTCACCCAAGGAGTTTTGGTGGCCAAGGGTGGACTTGAATCTGGGTCTCCCTGATGCGAGTCCAACGTTTTTACTACTATGTGGGTCCTAGGGTATGAATTAATAGTGGCATCATAGTTTTTACTTGCCTCTTACATGGCTACATGTTTTATTCACAGGGCAGGCATTACATTATGATTATAAACAAACTATTATTCTTACTTTCTTGTCATTACTACTACAGATTAGCATTTCGCGCAAAAATGAAAGGGAAGCAAAGGATGGTGGGTAAAAAGCAACGCTCATTCAAAATTTTTCCAAATCTGCATGTTTCAGCTTTTAAATTAAATCTTTTACTTCTTTAAAGTGAAAAATGAACTTGGAAACTTTGAAATCAAATATTTAATAGGGCTCAAAACTCTATTCAAATGCTCTCTCTCAAAACAGCCAAGTATAAAGATATTTGAGCGCCCTAAACAAAAGCATTGCAACTTTTAATAGTTATTTCCTCTAAGGCATACTGGGGTGCTCTGGAGCCTATTGCTTTGGGAGTTTAATACGGATCCAGTACAGAATTACTTTTAATAAGATAGATGCATTAGATGGGGACCTGTGGTTTTCCAAGAATGACAGAAAACTGATGGCAACTATGTTTACACAAATAAGTGATGTTAGCCTAATTGGAGATCTTCCTTCCTTCCTTCCTTCCTTCCTTCCTTCCTTCCTTCCTTCCTTCCTTCCTTC